TCCCTTTTGTAGGTTCTCAAAGAGGAGGAAACGGGCACCATGAAGCCAAATTAATGTGAGGTGGGCAAGTGCTGGCGGAGGTCCGGCGGCCGACTGTTTCTCTGGTCTGCTCAACCAATCGGCTTCATCATTTAAGGCTCCTGCGAGGTGATGCGCGACCAGACCGCAGATGCCCGTCACCTCGAGGTTCCAGGCCAGGCATGCGCCCAAGAAGTTGAGCGCTGGCGAGCTCGCCGCCAGCTTCTTCACCACATGGCCAAGGTGACCACGGAGTCGGAGCGGATCAGGACGAAAGTGCCCCGCAGCTTGCGTCGCCAGTCTTGCAGGGCCAGGACCAACGCCAAGGCTTCCAGCGGCCCCTGAGAGCCCGACTCCAAACGGTACACCGAGGAAGTCGGCCACCTCTTGCGTGACCTTTGCCTTGAAAGCAGCCAGCGGCTCGAAGGATGTGTGCGTCGGATCCGCCACTGCCAGCACGGCACCGACTCGTCAGCGGCTCCTGTCGAACCAGCCAGAGATGTGATTGCTCCAGGAAAGACTATAGCCAGGAACAAGGCAACTCCACTTGGCCGGCACTAGCCCCAACTTGGGTCGCGTGTCTGTCCTTGACGCGGCTCTGCTGGCTTCGAGGCCCGCCTTCTCGTCTGCCTCCACGGAGGCCACGACCGCATAAAGGATGGACACCAACCACCGCATTCTCGGAATGATGCCGGCCGTCCAAGGCCCGCGAAAGGCAATCACTCCTTTGCCTTTCCACTCCTTCATCTTGGCCAGCAGCTCCTTGACCACCTTGCCGGGCACTGTGAGAAGGAGCATGGCCTGGTTGACGGCTATCTCGAGCTGCACGCCGATCCAACAGATTTGAAGCCTGCGTTCACCTTTGTGAAAAGCCAACTGGACCCCCATGGCTGCCGCGGTGTACAGCAGCATAGCCAACACGCCTCGCCTTCTCCCTTTGGGGCCAAGGATGGCGAACAGCGGTTCATCCATGCACAGCTGCAGCTCCCCGTCCTTCATGATCATGGATCGCCACAACCTCGCCAGTGCCGCCGCCAATCTGCCCACCATGAGCGGCGCCCATTGCGCAAAAGACCAGGATCTCGTCCTCCTCCAGCGCCGGAGCCAAGCAATTCTTTAACTCTTCCGACGCCACACCAAAATGGCAGTAGGCGTCCGACAGGTCCGCGCCAACCATCTCAACGCCTGCGTCCTCGTCCTCGCTCTCGAAGGCCAAGTTGTCCAGCGGGTCGTCCTCTCGCATCCTTGTCTCTTTGAGCCTCCACAGTCTGCGAACTGATTCCGTGAAGTCAGCGCAACGCGGAAGGACGATCCTCTCCGGCACCTTGGCCTGGTCGTTCCCGCCTGAACGCAGCAGGTCGATGATGATCCGCCTTTTTATGGCGCCATCCCCCTTTTCCTTGACGATGAGCGCTAGCTTGCTGACCGTCCCTGTCCCGAACCTCAACTGCACATCTGCCTTGGCCATCCTCTTCGCAAAGCCCTTGTCCAAGTAGCGGCCCAGCTCCAGGGAGGCCCCCTCCAGATCCGCAATAGTTCTTGAAGGACGACCTCCATTCCAGCGTTGGTCAGGAATTTCGGCCTTCTCGGGGTCCGCCGACATTTTCTGCCACGCTTCCCACAAGCTGGAACTCAAGGGGCTTTTAAACTCTATCTTCTCCTTGAGGACGACTTCTTCGACTCGCCCATGAAGCAGGTTCCGGAGCTCCGCCTTCCAGCCCTCGACCTCGTCCAGCTTGCAGGCGTTGCCGCCGTAGGTCTTGGCCGCCTCCAGCGTCTCCGGGTACTTCTGAGCGTACCTTCGCCAAAGCCTGGCCATGTCCCATCCGACTTCCGCCACTTTGCTCAACCGCTTGCTTGATTGCGGGTCAAGGGTTCGCTTGGACAGCTTGTTGTCCGGCCCTCTATGGTCCGAGGCCTCTGTCCAAACCCAGGCCCTCTTGACGGACGAGCGTGGGCCCGCTTGCTCTCATTCTTGTCGCTTCTCCTTTGACTCCCACCATTTGAGCTGCAAAGCGCAAATCTCCGGACTTCTTGTTGGCCACCTGGTGTCGCCACCACTCAAAGTCCAAGGTGCGTTTCCAGATCTTCACCATGAGCTTGGCGTACTCCACGCAGCTCGATGGGGTATTCAGCCGCCGCCTCTGTCCTAACCTTCCCGACCAGCTGCTGGTGTCTGAAGCCGGACGGACAGCTGCACTTCCGAGACAGCGACTGCAAGCCGCCCATTCTGCCCACGAACTTGCCCGGCCTGAACCACTTCAATCTGCTGGAGGTCTGGTAAGCACAGGTGTTGAAGACGGCCTCTGCCGCGTCCAGATCCTTGACGAAGGCCACCACCTCAGGGAGCATCCAACCACCGAACAGCTTCTCGTTGCTAGCAAAGTACCTTCGTCAGCTTGTCGTTGAAGGCTGCTGCTGTTGCTGGACAAGCCGTATATTTCAGTTGCCTTGGCTTCCCCCCATAGGGTCAGATAGGGCTCGTCCGCCAAGAGGTTGTCCTGCCTGTCTCCACGCCAGTCTACGGCCCGAATCTCCACTTGGAAGCCCGCCTTTGCCGCCTCGGTTTGCAGAGTTTTCCCGAGCACGTCATTCTTGCCAGCAAACAGGCGCAGGAAGCGAAAGATTCGAGCCCTCTTGAACGCGGAGCCGCCGTCAGCACCTTCTTGATCCTGTCCGGCAGCCACGGAGCCCCATCGCTCCCCGGAACAGAATGCCCAGGGTCTGTGCTTCCACTGGCGCGCTCAGCCATCTTGACTGAGAAAGTCCACCAGCGGCAGGGAGCATACAACCCTCAAGCGCACAAAACCTAGCAAGCAAGCACGGGAACAGGAAATTCCCCAGATTTTCACTTGCGGGCAAGCATCATTACGGTGAGACGGCGAGAGGCAGTACTGGCACTTGTGGATTCGCTTCACTTGGCATTTGCAATCGCCACCCGGCGGCACGTCAGCGCACGGACCAGCCCCGAAGACCAACTGAAGCAAAGCTGCAACCCAGACTGGTCCTTCGTCTTGCCCTTGCCACCGCCCTTTCTCTGCTGGACTTCGCCCGGCTCCGACTTCTTGACAGCTTTGAGCTTTTGAAGTTCCTCGCGCTGATCTTGCATCCGCTTCTTTCTCGCAGCTCTCTTGTCGCGGTTGGCTTGCCTTCTGCGCTCGTTGTCACCCGCACTTGGCGCGGGCACCCCATTGAACTCGAGGCCAGGGAAATGGGCTCCAGCAATAGCTTCGGCAGCGGCAACTGGTGCTCCTCGACCTCCAGCAGCAAGCCACGAGACCACCGGGCGTCTCACTTGTTCTGACCAGAAATTGTCATCTTTTGTCAACGCCTGCACGCATGCGGTCCACGGTGCGTTCGCGCCCCAGTCCGATGGCATTGATTTGCCTTGTGTTTCCTCGGCAACGAAGTTCCGCCCGATCTTCTCCAGTCTCTCCGCCCTGGCCTTGTCCTCCGCTTGGCATATCAGCCCCCACGCAGCCGGCCACTGAATCACCAGGCGTTCCACCAACTTCTCGTAATTCAGCAAGGCAGTCAAAGAGATAATCCCCAACATCAACGACGCTGTCTTGAACACTTTCCAACACGCTTGCCACTGCTGGAAATTCTGAGGACCTGGCATCTCCCTCATGAGGAAACTCCCATCGCCCAGCGGCGTGTAGACCCTAAACTTCTGCAGCTTCAAGGCACGTCTTCCAAACGGTACCCATACGCCGAAATCGACGTAGGGCGCCTGCTTGAGCAGGACAACGCGTTTATGGAGGCCAGCCACCTGAGCGGATGTAGGTTCTTCTTCCTCTTCTGGTGGACCGCCCATCAAAAGTGAATATCTCTGAAGCCAGCCTTGGACCAAAGTATTGTCCGGCGGGAGCAGCTCCGACTCATCTGTCTGATCCACCAGCGCAGCCATCTTCAGAACACTTTCCTTCACAGCCGCTTGCACTGGCTTGACAGGCGCTGTCGAAGTTGAGGTCGTCTCCCAAGGGTCGACATCCACGAACTCTGATTCCTCGCCCCCCGCCTTCAGGTAAATCATCTTTCTTGCAGAGCGCCAGACCAGCCCCAACTGAGCGGCCTGGACAACTGAGGCTCCTTGACTTGGTGCAATTTGCACCCCGCTGATGGCCTGTGCAGTGGCCCACTTGGTCAAAGCTGCCACCTGCCTGGCGTCCCCTCCGGGGTCGCCCATCACTGCCGTTAAACCTTTCCAAAGAGGCTCTGCCACGCCCAACAGCTGCAGGAGGTCCCCCAAGTTCGAACAGGCCATCAACTCCGCCTTACTCGGGAGAATGTTCATCTTGTCCCGCTCATCCGCCGTAGAAGTCAGCGGCCGCTCGCGCTCACACAGCCCGCACCATGCTAGAAAAAGCTCTCAGAGGGACAAAAGCAAAGCTTGCTGAGCCTTGAGCTCCAAGCTTCAGAAGCAAGCTTTGCACACAAGCCCTCCCTCCTCCCAACTTGACATTACGCTACTTGCCTGTGCTTACTTTGTGCGCTTCATGCAAGCCCTTCAGAGGACAGATGCAGAAGATGCAAGCTGCAAGAAAGACCCTAGCAACTCTTGTCAAAGGCTCTCACCAAAATCAATGGCAAAGGGTCCCAGGCCAGAAGCCTGAGCCGCTTACATTTAAGGACCTTACTTAATCAGGATGCATTCCCACCCTCCTATGCCACCACTTCCCCGCCCTGGCTGCTTTGTCTGCAAGACTGTCTTTTCGCTGACTGTCTTCCAGCGTGTCACCAAGCGCGGAGCAAAGGAATAGAGAGCTTGACGACCCCTAAAGAATTTCCAGGCTATGTCCGTGAACGAATCTTTTACGCCAGTTCTTGAGTGGACGGACACGGCCGAAACCTCAGCCAACACCTCGCCTACAAGGCGGCACTGGTGCCAGCGATACAATCAACTGTTCGTTGCAAGCTGGAACACGACGGGGCAGCTTTGGGTTTACATGTGATGACAATCGATAGTTTCAGCTCCCCACGTTGACTGGTTCACGGAGGCTGCGACGGTGGCCACCTCAAACCACGCAGCAACAAACCTGCGAATGTTGCGGATTTATCTCACTTGCCAAGCAGCCCGGACCATGTTTGGCTCATCGTCGCTTGAGGCTGTGGACAGCCTCATTATCAGAATCTTCAGGAACTGAGGGCGCAGACACAGCGCAGCAGCTAAGCATCGTGCCTGACAACGGATTCTGAAGTTTTCCTGAGTACAGCCTCAGGCTCCTGCCAACAGAGGTGGGTCCGTCGATGAGACGTATCCAGTCACAGCACGTTACAGCATGTTACAGCCATGTCCTCATAACTCTCGGGTCCAGCTAGCCTTTTTTTGTGAAGACTCAAAGGCAAATGTAGGAGCTTCGGAGCTTCTGGTGACTTGGCACCTCTGAGGCGCGCGCATTTCAGGCTGACCTCACACGAAAGGCACGCGAAGCACAAGAGACGAGCTTTTCCAATCCTCGCCTTCCGTGGGCTCAGGTCGAGCACGGCCTGGCGGCGCACACGAGACACGAGAAGCATCTCTGAGTGAGGCAGCCAATTACTGATCACTCAGAGTCAAGCAGATGCTTTCTCGCAACTTGTCACCCCGCTGCGTCACCTGAACGCAAACTTTCAGGCACTGATTCGCAAGAGAGTGCAGATGTCTTAGCAGCGCAGCATGGCATGTTGATCTCTTTCCGAGGCTTCTACAGGAGGCGAAGATGGATTTTCTGAGGCGCTCAAGGAGTTTACTGACCTCAGAAAGGCGAAACTTACGAAGAATGCTTGATGGCCACACTGAATGCTCAAAGCAGCTCAAGCGCCTAAGGCCCCGGCACGCTACCACCGGGACTATGCAGAGGCAGCTCTGTTGAGGTTCCTGCAGAGATGAGGATTCGCTTGTGCGCAAGAAATTGTCGGGGACCTGCCTGCCGCATCGTCTGCGAAGTCATCTCCCTGAATAGGCCCGATGCCTTTCAAAGACGGTGACCTGCCACTTACCGAGGGATACCAAGCTATTTGCAGGGGCTACTCCTGCCAAATTTCTAAAGATTCACTAGCGTTGCCAAAACATCACAAGCACGGCCCGTTTGCTGAATTTCTGTGCAACAGATCTTTCTCTTGGTGGTCTTAGCAGGCTTGCGCCGGGTCTGAGATTCGTGCAAATCTTCACCATCACTGGCAGCTGCTTTCCAGTAGCTGCCTTACACATGTCACCAAGAATTGGCAAATGTCAGAAGAACAAGTCTGATGCAAGTGCCTGGGAACGTGCGCATGAAGATCTCCTCTCGAGAAAGCCTCAAGGACATCTCCTGTGTTGCAGTGGCGCACTTTTTGCTAAGTGCTTGAGTGACTAGTCACAAAATTGCGGCCAAAACAAAACAACCAAGGAAAGTGCTGGAAAGTACGGAAACGCGGCATTCTTCCCGCACGCCGGACATGCACTCGGCCCGTCCTCTTCACCATCCTCTGTGGAGGCCTTACGACGGCCTCATCGATTCCCAAGGAGCGCAGCTGGGCAACTCTGATTCTTTCAAGCAAGCCTGAACATACGGGAGGCATGGAGAGCAAGCTTGAGGTCTCGCATGGCATCGTGTCCACGTCACCGCAGAGCTGATCAGGGACTCACTTGCTGCCACTCAGCGCTCAGTTTCAAGAAAGGCCTGATGCGGAGGCTGAGGACTGACCTTCACACGATTTGCCTTGAACCAGTAGGTTTGCTTGCTGACCGCAGTCCAAATCCAACACTTTCTGCCCAGCCTTCGGCGATTTCGGGTCCTCCTTGGACATGCCCTCAGTTTGCCAGTAAAACGAGATTGCATGAGAAGGCCTCATCTTGGAGCCCTACTGCAGTTGGCCCTCCTGGATAGGGCATGGCGCCAGGTCAGATGGAACCCCAGATAAGGAAACTGTAAGACCTCTTTGGCTCTTCTGCTTGCATTTGGTTGCTTTACACACACATCGAACCTGTGCGAGGGATGACTTGCCTGGTCTTTTCTGCTTGGAATACAATTCCTGTCTGGACAATCTTGAGAACATCGGAGTTGATGACGCGGGTGTCAAAGACACTTTCTGACGGGCTCCATGCAAAGAAGGTAGGCGGCGCTCAGTCGCTCAGTTTTCACACACAGCTTGATGCGTCTGCATGCGGTGAATTTGTGGTGTTGTCCAACATGGCGGCAATCGTGCGTCCAAGAATATCCAGAGACCTCATCTGCATGCATGCTGCTGACAAGAATCTGCTTATTTGCATGGCGGGCATCACTTCTCTGCCAGTCCGTTGCAATGTTACAGAGGCCACAGAAACCCATCTGAGGAAATCTTCTTGGGAGCAAAGGCCCCTTCTACAGCCCCTGAGCCTATCTCCCCACGATGCGGAGGAAGTGACTGCGGCAGGCTTGCCTCATTCCATCGAAGCATCAGCCTGCCTGAGGTCGCTGGCAGCCCAAACTGTCCAACTCTTTCGAAAGACAAAATTCGGCTTTAGCTCAGCTGCTCGTCGAATCGAAGTCCGCAGTTCTCAGCGCGACCATCATGCGGGCAAGGCTGGAGAAGGTCGTGACATAGGGCCTGCACACTACATCCAGCCAGGAAACATTCTCAGTGAGCCCAGCACCACATGTCGTTTGGGCAACCCTGCCAGCGAACGAAGTCTGTGAGATCATACAGCCTCCGCAGACAATGTCTAGCATCAATTCGGCATTTGTCAAACAGCGCAGGCTGCAAGCACGCCGAAAACAGTTGCTCAGGAAGGGGCGAGAGAATGTGTGCCATTGACGAATTTTCTCCAAACCATGGCCAGTCCAAGGCTACTTCGGTTGAGGATGGCAGTGCCACAGCAGAACCCTCCTCACGGGCCTGCCACCACCCAAAATCTGTGTACTCCAGCATTCCTTAGGCTGGAAGACTGCGAAACTTAACTTCATCACAGCTTCAACTCGTGCTGTACACACGCACAGACGCACGCAGCAGAAGCAAAGGATGGCCCGTGACACCGCCTGACAATCAGATAAGATTCTCTTGATGATGGACGCCACCCAGGCACGGTCAGGTAGGAAAACGGGAACTCCGATGGCGTAGAGTTCGCTGAAGAGCAACATGCCCATGTCCCAGGGAAAATAGACCGCAGCCCGGAAGCGACGAAGCTCGTTGTAAGTGAAAGGTCTAGCTATGCCCGCAACGGTGTCCGATGCATCCCGGCTGAGGCCAAGGAAAACCTTGGCTGGCATTGAATCAAAACATTCTATGGCACCTTGTAGATATGCAGAGGTTTCCGTCAGGGCACCAGGCGTATGGAAGTGCTTGGCCGCAGCATTTCCCCTGCAAAGGCTTCCATCAGCTGCACCATGGCGCCGGCACCATCCCGAGCCCATCCAGCCAGTCTCCCTAGCAAAACTCGAGGGTTCACCGTGTCGGGATGATAGGTCGAAGCTCCTGCCCCACCTTTGCCTCCCAAGGCATAAAGTGAGTGGGGCCGTATGCACTGCGGCCGCTGCCCTGTCTGTCGCTGCACTTGTTGTGCCAAAAACTCTGAGTAGGCAATCAAAGTGGAGCGTCTCAGATTCGAGACTTGCACTTCTCGCAACTGCACAAGCAGCAGGTGCCGAAAGCGCTTGGGCGTGGCACCAACGAGTGGGAAGGCTTGGTACAGGAGCATGGGCTGGTCTACAAGGCTTCGCAGGAAGGAGCAGAGAACCATTGGTTGAGCACACAAGATCAGATCTGTTTGCTCCAGATCCTCTAGGCCTGCAGAGAGCAAGTTCAGAAGCTGCTGCGGCTCCCAGGAAGGACGGTACATCTGCTGTACAAGAAGGCGCACAGCATCGTCGATGTGGCGATTGCTTGCACAATGCCCAAAGGACTCACACATAATCTCTGGGAATGGGTAGATCGTGCCCAGCACGGTCGCATGCAGTGAGAGACCTGCATTGGCAAAGCATGACTCGACCATCGACAGAGGCTCCATGTTGCTGCCCATGTGGGAGCCGATCACCATCATTCGAAAGTGCTGGTTCTTGACACCCCGCAATGGTTCTACATCATCCCTTTGCAGAACGTCAAGCTGGCGGAGCACAAGCTCCGATGCCGGTGTTGACACGTCGGTGTGAAGCAAGCCATGCAGTAGCCGAAGCTTGGGGACACTCAGAGCGGCGCCTGCACAGGATGACACCGAGGCGGCTTGGTCGCTGCAACGGGTCCACTGGTCTTGCACAAGCCTGACATCGAGCAGGTGCAGCGGCCAGTTTGAGCTTTGCGAGAACTCCAGAGGACCCCAGCTCTCCCGTGTGTCCATGTTCAGGAGGGGACCCCGGGTCATGCGCTGAAGGCACCGCACGATGACCGTAGAAGAAGTCTGCAAATCAGCATCGAAGCAGTGCCAGAAGTTGGCTGTCATGACTCCGTAGATGCAGAATGTCACATCAGGTGCTGGGCCCCTCCTGCACTGAAATGTCATGGCCCAAATCTCTCAAAGATGAAATGGTCTGACCGCCAACTTGACTCTTAGAATTCCATTCATACTCTTGAGCCTCGTCCATAATGCTGACAGCTCCTGACGCGCCCTTACCAGTGCGAGCGGAGTCCACATACGCAGCACCCGCCGAACCACAGCGAGCAGCGAAGGTAGCACGGTGATGCCTCCATGAAAAGCACTTGTAACAGATCAATAAAAATGGCAAAAGACAGTTCATTCATCTTGGGGCGCAGCCCGCAAGCTCCATGTGCTCTTGAGTGAGTCGACGCAGCTCATACCATGGAGATGCATCATCGGAGGCCTGCATGGAATTGATGTAGCCTTTGCCTGAGTTTACCTAACCTGGTTATCGTTGGGAAGTGTTGCCCCAAGTACTGTCGATGCCACTCCGAGGGTCATCACTTGGCTTTTCACAACTTGCCGTCCTTAGTTGTCAACCCAAACTCACCTGCTGCAGCGCCCCAAAAGAGGGAGCTCCAAATGCTACCAATACAATGCCAGATGATCCAAACGTGCAGGGTACCACCATGTGGGATGAGCAGCATATGACAAAGGCCATGTGGCACAAGCCAGGCCCGCTGACAACATATAAAACCTTCTGCTGCAGCCCTTGAAAAGACAAGTAAAACGCATCCAACGCTACCCTGCAGTGGCAAAAACCGCTCCTCGATCCCTTCAAAGCACGCTCCAGGGTCTCTCATCAATCTATTCCTTCCAGTTCTAACCTGCTGACGCCCACCTCACAATCCAAGTATGTAGTGACTTCGTCCATAGGCGTGGCCGGCCACGTCTGGTGCCATGGGAGGGATGAAGTGTCCTACTTCCACGCGAGACGGGCAAGTAGGCCCGACAACTCATTTGATTCCATAAAAGCTATGAGCACACCCCACTGATGAGCGTTGATCTGCGCGAGCACACAAAAAAGCTGGAAGCTGATCACAGCCTCCAAGTGCTTCTCAGCTTGCAAAACAACACCAGCAGGTCTTTTGTCTCTGCGAACATTGGATTGCCGTGCTCATGGTCTGGCACCAGCTTCAACGGGATGTCACGGGCAAGGGGCATTCCAATCCAGTTTAGCCGAGAATGCTCCTCAGGGGCGCTGCATCTCTTACGAACACATCACTGGAAAGAGCATGTGAAAGCAAAGGTCTACCAGCATTTGCACTTCTGAGCTGGTTGGCAGGGAATGAGCTGAGAGAGCCATTTTGAAGGTAGCGCATTCTGGCCCCTATGCCCACACCAAGGCCTTGTTGACAGTACAACATGAGTGAGTGAGCGAGCGAGCGAGTGAGTATAGACCAGCAATTACGGTGCGGCCTGCCGCACACGTCCCTGACAACATCTCAGCGGGGCTAAGCGGACGAAATTGCGCGCTTGCTGCGGCCCAGTCCAATCAACCTTAACACATGCAGGCACGCGGTAGTCCACATCGCTTGCGTGGGCTTTTGCAACATGGTGTCCTTGCCGTGCTTCAATCGTAGTGACACCGGCAGGCGCATGTCATCTTCACGGCTGGGGGGGTCCACCTCCTCGCCAAAGACCTGACACAATTACAAGCTTTGTCAGAGGTCTGCAAGGTCTGTGATGGGTCAGACTTGTGACACCTGCATGTCTGTCTGAGAAGCAGGCCACATGCCACAGAAATTCGAAGCCATAACATTGCGTACTCCGTTTTGTCCCCTCTACGCCGCATAGATCAACGTCGCGGGAGCCATCGACAAGGCTCAACATGCGAGCATAGAACTCCTCAGAATAACGCTCGGTGCGAAAGCTGCTCCATGCCATTCCATGCCGATCATTCCTATCCGGCCATTGTCCTGACCCTGGCCCTTCTAGGATTCTGTGTGAGCTTGCTTGGCTTTTAGCATTATAAGTAGCCGCTTTGCTTTGCCAGGGCACAAGGCTGCGCTGGCGGATCGTAGCCCGGGACACCATAAATTGTGCACAGCAGTAAGGGCCTCAAGGAGGCGCACATGAGCATCTAGCAGCATTCAGTACATTGAGGAAAGGGCCTACCAGTTGCGTGAGGTTCTCCCCGAAGATCTCCTCATGGACGGCTTGCAGGCAAGGAGTCAGCGTTCGCACGTGTCGAGGACCGTTCAGAGGAAGAAACCCGACACTGTAGGTGCCGGCGGCGATGCTCCTGCCATGCGTGGCTCTGTTCTAGCCCTGAAACCCGCTCTTGCACCTCAGCACCAGGTCCAGGTAATCCATGTGAAGGTGATCCATTGGATCACTTTGTAGAAAGACCGTAAAGTCAGCGAGATGCTCGTGGTAGCTAGCCAGGATGTGAGTCAAGTACCCGGAGCACTCATCACCACGGGCTGCTCCTACAGGTGAGGTGCGTACTTAACCCCTCCTACCCTCAACCCAACTGTATGGGAAGCGATCGCCCCTGCCTATGTCTGGTCGGGAGATGACATGCACAGCTTGGAATGCCCCAGCCGAGTAGGAAGACGGGTCCGTCGAAGCCCCACACTTCTCATAAATGAACAGCCTGACGGCACATGCTACATTTCTACTGCTGCAGCTCGTGACATATGTACGGTTCGCCTGGAGCCAGTAGGGACACGTACCAGCTTGGAACTCAGCCAATCCAACGGCTCCTTGCAATGCGCCACGACGAAGTCCAGCCTGCCACTTATTTGTCACGAGGAAAAGCCTTCCAGATCGTACAACTTGATTATTTTGATTTTTGAGGGATACATCTTGGACAAGAAGAACATTGCTGCCACACACCTGCACTGCAGCCATTGCAGAAATCTAAATCTAGCCTACGAAGCAAAAAAACACGGCAATCCTGGCTGAGCTTCCAGAAGGATTGTCCCAACAGGCGGTTGTGAAGATGCTTGACTCCGAAATGACAGTGCCTGCAGAAGCTGCGCACAAGTCTGCCACGCTGTGCATATATCAGGAAAGCTCAGAGGTCATCGCCACAAGCCTGAATGCCGAGACCTGTTGGCTGTGTGCCAATATGAAGACTGATCCAGCCAGCCCCTCTTACTTTCCTGCTCAAGCTCCAAATGCACAGCCAGCAGTGCTACAATCAGATTTCTCGTCACAATCCCGTGCTAAGCAGACTGTCTCTGCATTCTTGGATTACATCTGCAACTTTCACATACCATTACCTGACCTACGTGCGAGCTCAAGGCGAATCAATTACGTCGAGGTAAATTCCTTCAATAGTCAGCTCGGGCACTTGTCATCGCATTTTTAAAGCACTAATAGTTGCGTCCTCATTCGGAGAAAGGCTACTGGATGCCAAAGCAAGCTTGGAAGTTTAAGCAAAAAAGTTGTGTTCAAGCGCTTCAGTGGGCTGAGGCCGCAGGAGAGGCTCCCTCCATAGGCTTCCAGCACTTGACAACTTGTTTCAACGATTGAACCCATGTGTCCGGCCAAGACCTCTGCAGTTGAAAGGCGCACACCGCAAGCTCCAGACACTGCCAAAACCTAATGTTGTCCGCGCCTAGCGTAAACCGCCCAAAACATGCCAACTGGACAAGACTGTGCTTACGATGACCACGGCTAAAATTATAAACTACTGCAACATACCTGCAGCTTCGCTACAAATTCTTTGCGCTGGTAGAAAGCTGTTAGCAGGGTCTCTTTTGAATGCGCCACCCAAGACTTCACCACGACGTCGATTTTATTTGGTGATGCATTTCTCGCGCTGAAGTGTAGGATCCGTTTCTCATACCCATACCTACCCTCTCACTGACAAGCATGATTTCAAATGTGAGTCTGGCAGGCCCGGCTAAACTACGTTCTTGCCGCATGGTCGCTCCGCGCGCCCTCCGGACTTCAATTTTTAAAGGCTGCGAGATAAATCTAAGAATGTTTTTGTGTGTCTTTGGGTTTTTGTTTTTGTCTCAACAGTCACAGGGATTGCGGGGGTCGGGGTTCCAAGAGTGTCAACAGTCAGCGGGATCGTGGGAGTCGGGGTCGCGATCCTCGTAACTGTCGCTTCTAAACCCTCGACTCTGTTGTAATTTCAAAAGGCGTGCAAAATTATGAAAAATCATGAAACTCATGGAAATCATGGAAATGATGAAAAATGATGAATCAAGCATGAGAAATGATGAAAAATCATGAAACATGATGAAAAATAAAAATGAAAAACATGAAGAAAATGACGGAAAATATTCAAAAATTCTGAAAACCGTGAAAATGATGAAAAATCATGGAAATGGTCAAAAATTATGAACATGCTGTGCCGCTCTCTCTCATAGTCATAGATCTTGTCGGCATTCCATAAGTCCGGGCGGAAAGCCTGCAGGGTGGAAGCTTCGCGTGGGCTCAGGGTTCCAACCAAAAAATTTATTCTGCAACGATCTTGACTGACACAAAACAGGTGATAAAAATCTCTGATGTCATTGCTGCTGATGTAGAACTGTTCTCTGCTTTCCAAATGAAGATGAGTAAGAGCTTCTCCTGATCCCAATGTTTGACTGAATCTCGCAGGGGGGGTCGGACTTTCGAGTAGGTTACGGGGCCTCGAGTCGGAATCAACCGGTCGAAGGCGAAGACACCTGACCCAAATCTTTCTCTGACTTGCTCCGCGGTGAAAAGCCGCACCCGCCAGGATTTATCCAAAAGTTGGTAGAGCTTCAGCCTCTCCTTGCGGGAGCAATGAACTCTGGCACGTGGAACTTCTCCCATAAAAATGCTTTGGGTCGCTCAAAGGGATGTTCATAGATTTCTCAGGAACGTACATCCAGAAACGGCTTGGGTCCAAGTCGGGAAAAAAACGAAACCTTAAACCTCAGTTCTACCGATTCTGCCGACTAGAAGGTTCTGACTTTTGTTCCCCGAAGCCGTCCGAGCCCTGGATTTTCACCTTGCTGAGGAGGACAACTGGCAGAAGTCATTTGCTTCAACTGCTGAAACGCCCTTTCCAAGTCTTCAATCTTGCCAGCCGTTCGTCCCATATCGGAAGCGCTGAGGGTGCCAAGCTCAAACCAAGCACCAAGGAAACTCTCCAAACGCTTCACGGCTTCCCATTGCTGCACTGAAAGGTGGCCGCCGTTGCGACATTTAGGCGGCGCTCTTGGAGGATCTACCCAAGTCGAGGTACTTCAAGAAGCAGACTTGCACACTGACAAAGAGTTTCCCTAGCTCCTGCGGCGAAAGGTCCTGACGATCCGCCTTGAATACCTCAGGGTAGGGCAGAGGCATTGGCCGGGTACCTTCACGTGGGGCTCTGCAAGATCTGCCAGGTGATTCACCCGGCTCGGCTTGTCGAAGGCAGCTTTTTAGGAAGTGCCCCAATTCTGGGCAGCGGAAAACTTCATGAACGAAACTTGCCAAGGCTTTGAGAAGATCAACCGGCCATAACAGGCCTAAGATAAGAACCGGGAACATGTTGGGCAGGATCTCGAAGTGCTCCTGGCAAGGACCTTCTTTACATGGCAGTTCTGGGTTAAGCAGCTGGCCTTTTGGAGAAATGGGACTTGAAGTCAAGGAGGGTGGCAGCAGCTTGGAGCTTCTTTTTTGCATCACGGAAGCTCTCTCGGTCTTTGAACCTCCCCAAGAATATCTCTGGCCCACCTCGGGTCGTAGACCGACCGCCATCTCATTCTTGGCTGTTGATTGGACTCGGTAGAGAAAGCTGTAGCAACGCCACTGTCAAGACAATCCGGTCTTTGTGTCTACGCTGGCCTGTTTGGCTGCAGCCATGAGCTTCTGGATCTCCGGCGACGAGGTTGTCGAGGATGCCTCCCACCTGCCAGCTCCATCGCACGTGGTTTTGAAAATTTGCAAAAGCCAGACCGAGAGCAGCCGGAGTGTGGCTGAAGTCCTCGCTCGATGTTCTCGTTGAGGCCTTTGTCAGGGCCCTCAGCGCAATGGCATGGCTCCGTCGGGCTCCACCGAAGGCACTGTCTCCCGTGGAGCCGTTGCTCGAAGTCTGGTCCAAAAACATGTCGAGGTCCGGTTTTTCTTCTTCTTCTTCTCCAACGCCATGGGGGCTGTCTCCAGCAAGTCCTTTGCCTCCTTGCTCCGCAATCTCTTCGAGGTCGCCGGCTTCGTCCAACACACGTCTCGGTCAACGCCGGCGGCGTCGTCCTTGTCCAAGCAAGGTCTCCTGGACCGGGATCCCCTCTGCTCCGATCAGTTTGGCCATCTCTCGAAAGCTCTCGTCGGCGGCCCTTGCAGCAGCCGGAGCCCCAGCCTTCTTCTTCCCAGGATTGATTGGAAGCGCTTTCGGCTTCGCTCCACGGTGCTCGGCTTTCTGGCCTACCAATGTCTGAAGCATCTCTCGCACGTCGGCCAACCCAGGCTCGACGAGGCTCATCCTTTTGAAGATGCCGCCGCGCCGCCTCCAGATTCTGCCATGGTGAAGAATTGATCATCCGCAAGCCTGACCAAGGCCTCCGCAAAATGAAGGATCCCATCTCCCGATCTTCGCCTCGTCGTGCATAGAGAGCCGACCCATGCCCTGCCTTGATGGTAACCTCAGGCAGGGGGGTCTCCAAGTCGGCAACAGAGCAGCCAACCACTTCGACGCCCATGGAAGGGAGGTCTTCTCCAGCTTGCGCTTTGCAATTTGCGACCTTCTTTAACCAGACAGCCCCCCGGCACAGCTACCACGACTCCTCCTCCAAGTTTCGCAATGCAAATAATGGCAGAGGTCTCGCCGGCTACGGAGCAAGCAAGTGTCCCCACGAAGATTCGTCCGGTTGTCTTTGAAAACGAGGGCGCCCCTGGCGTAAGCACCCTCTTCCTGATCGCTTTCCTCAGACATCAGGCCTTCACGGGATCAGTGTAGATGTTGCTGGCGTGGTCCTTGACAGTGATGTAGAAGCTGCTTTTAAGTGCAATGCTGTGCCTTCCTGAGGTCCCTACTTTACACCTTCCAAAGAGCGTCTCAAGAAAGCCCCTTTTTCCTTGGCAACCCCAAAGTTCCCAGGACTGTCCCTTGTGAGGTGCCTCAGTAGCAGGAGCCGAAGGGCTCGAAGAGCTTGCTGTCTCAGGACCAAACGAGGCCACCCTAGTTGGGGTCGAAGAAGCTCCGGCAGTCTGCGCGGCAGGACCCTCGTAGCCACCAAAGCTCGACACCACCACCTCGAAGCCTTCCAACTCAGAGACGCGAACCTGGAGGTGAGCGACCTGGGCCTGCAAAAAGCGAAGCTCTTTGCGCAGCTCCTGAATCTCGATCTCACTCATGCACCCGGTAAAGGGGATACGGGTACGATCTGGCAATGGTTCCCCACCACCTTGAAACATCACTTCTCCACAGCACTCGTATCCCGTACTGGAAGTCAATAAGAGGTCCGAGCGCAACCCCAATCAGCAGCCCAAGCCCCAGAGATCGGAAGACTATCTCTGACACCTGAATGTCCAAGCAAACCGGGCAATCAAGAAGCGGCCCAGCAGGTAGCGGGGCAGCCAATGCCTGAGTAACCAGGTTGAGCAGCAGTCCTGACAGCGACCCGGTTCCTGCAGCCGCTACAACGGACCTATCTATGCAAAGGTGCTCGAACCCACATAGCTGCCCACTCGCTCGTGACAAAGCATGTTTGACATGATGAGAAATAACATAAAAATTATGAGATTCAAACCAAGCATGAATAGCATTTAAAAAAATGGCGGCGGGGATGGGGCGGCGCAGTCCCCCCCCCCTATTTGCAAGCAAAATGATCTGCATAACTCGCCCTGACTGATGACATGATGCTTTTGTGTTACAGCAAGCTTGGACGGGGGTTGGGATCATGGAAATATGGAGATGATTTAAAACGATGACAATGGCAAGCATGCAGCCTTAAATACATGAGCATGAATGATATGTCAGAGCCTGAAGGGCCCAAAGAAGAAAAAGGGACGGTGACCCAGCGATAGGTGAACGACAACTACCGTTGACTAAGCTCTCGGGAGCCAGCTTTCTTGAGAACCCGTCCCGGGCCTAAACTCAAATCAAAACAAAGATTGTGTGATGCAATTTTAAGGGGGCGCACCCAACGCCCCGCCACCTTGGCCCCCTGTGGCACGGCTGGTCTGTGCCACCGGTTTGCTCTTAGCACGATGAGGGGGGGAAGCCTGAGACGATGGACGCTCCGCGCTCAAGAGCAGAAAAGAGTACAGGATGTCTTGCGACCGTTGCTCCATCGTGTTCATGAGCTGAGCATCACTGCAGCCGAAGTTGGGCGGCCTGGAAGGAGCGTCCGGCACGGCCTCTGGGTTTTCTGCAGCACGGCCGACATGGCCTGCGGCACAGCCTCACCCAGCAGGTCCTGCGCCGCCTCGTGAAAGGTGCACTTAAAGCCGGCAGCACCCCATCCCTCTTTCTCTGCCCTTCCTGAACCCGCTTCAAGGCTTTGCGAAGTGGCCAGGCAGCCGGCGCTGAAGCCATGAGGTGCTGCTGGAACGGTGATGCCTGCAGGATGAATTCATGGACCCTATCTGCGGCGACTCCTGATTCATCGCCCGCCTCTTTTGCAAGCCGAAGGCCGACCTCGTGGAGCGATCGTCCTGGCCAAAATCCGAGCCGCGCCCCTTTTCCGGGATGTGGAGATTTTGTTTCTTTCCTCAGCCGGCCTTCCTCTGAGACTGCTTGCGCAAAGTCATAGATCACATCGTCACTGGGGCTTTGCAGCAGCGAAAAAGCTTTATCCAGGTCGTACCATGGAGGGGCCAGAAGCTGGACTTCACTCACAAGCCTCAGGGGATCTCAGGAGCTCAGCATAGCTCCGCTCTGCTAAGACTGTACGAGTCTTAAGCTTTCAGCTTGTTCATCATCTCTCTGATTTTTTCTGAGCAGCAGCAAGGCGAGGATCAGTGGATTCGGGCAGTCGGCCTCCACTAAGCCCTGCTTGTACTCCTGGAAGCTGATCATGGCAAAGCAGCACTTGCTGGTAGTGTGAGGGCCCACAGAACCACTTGGTAAATGACTGGGACTCCTGGTGCAACCGCATGAGAAAGAAGGCCTGCATTAGGACATCGCGCTGCTATTCCACAACTCCCGCCACGCATTGCCACATACATAACAGGAACATAAGAAAGGGGCCCGGCCTCCAACAAGGGTGGTCGCGCACCAGCATTGTAGTGACTGTCCAGCTTCCTCTGGAACCCCGCAATGGAGAACACATATTCCTTGGTTGTCAAGGTGAATTAACAGTATCCCTCAACGCCGTGTGGGGGTGCTAATCAAGCTGAGCCTCAGGACAGCTTGGTGCTGCGTCGGGGTCCGTTTGGCTGTACCTAAGGGCTTGCAGGACGCTGATTAAAATCTCAACTAGGGAGTGTTAAGTTTAAAGTATGTAAAAGCAAATTCATACTTTGCTCCAGTTGACTCGCACCATCCGAATTGAATCTCGGAGAAGCAGCTCATGCAGCGGACGCGTTGCCCAAAATCCAGTAGCAGCAAGGAACCTGTGGCAATCTAGAGCCGCTGGCAAATGTGGAACCCATGGCTTTGCCGGCCAAGCAGCTCATATCTGCCCATGATTTGCTAGAACAGATCAGGCCAAGACAGAGAAAGAGGGAAAAGGCGGGAATAGGAGCAACAGAGGAACACGGAGGCAGCTTGTCACACGCGGCGTTTCATGGTGACATGGTGCGTGCTGAGCCATCCGATGCGAAAGTTCCTCACAGTTTGCCGCGACAGGCCAAAGGGTGCAGGCCTCACTGCCCGAGGCAAGAACAGTCGGAGAACTTCACGGGATGCATCCTGAAGGATCCCTGAAGTAAACCGCGAAACATGCTCGAGTTCCTCTCCGCCATGGAGCAAAGAGCTTTGGCGTCCAGGGGGAACGAAAGGCCATGCAGAGGGCTGAACCCAAGAGGCAGCAGAACGGAGCAGAAGCATGCCCACTTCTTCACCGCCCCTACTCCCATACAACCTCCTTCCCTCCCCCACCCCTCGACACACCCAATTTGAGCCTTCAAAGCAACCCCCAAAGTAGACCTGCTAGGCTCCGATAGGGGGCCCAAAACGACCCCCGGCAGGCGGCCCAAAACCCCCACGAAGGGTTCTCGACCCTGCAAGCTCCAGAATTGGTTCTCGATTTGGGAGTTCCCTTCCCGAGCCTCCCCTGGACTGATCAAGGCCTTAACACGAAAGCTCCTCTGGAAGAGAGCTTTCGCAATTTGAGGCCAAAGGCTCTTTCATAGTGGGCCATCCATCTTGCTGAAGTCCCACCCCGGGAAAGCTGCAATCTTGGCCTACCACGAGATTTGCTTGTATGACAAAGGAATCTGAGAAGCATAGGCACTAGACGGTCCGCAAGTGCCTGTTGTTTGTTAAGACTAGGTGACTAGGTCGGCACATGTGTCAGGAATCTGTTAAGCAGCAACCAATCAGCCGCTAGAGATTTGGTCGTTCAAATAGACTGAGCATTTACAGCAGTCGTCACGGGCATGCTGACCAAGGCCATCAAAATAGAAAGATTACCTCTCCAGGAGTGCCTGTAAATTGTAGCGCATGCGGCTGCTGCAGTTCCAAGGCTTGGAAAATCACATGTGATCAGGCGCTCCCTAATCGCCACCGCATACGTTGCAAAAGAAATCCCCACCAGAACATATCACAAGTTCATCAATTACATGCCAACGAAGAAGCATATCCATCCAGTCCACGCCGCCATCGCGGCTGCTGACTCTCGCCGCCATGTGGCAAGACGTGCTTCAAGCCACTCAAGAATATCGTGTGGGCGGATATGCTGGTAGCGCTTCTCAGTCTGCTTTTTCGCGGCGAGCCACGGCTTAGGCAGGTGAACTGAAGTTGCTGACATGAATTCATCTTTTCAAGTGACAGGATGCTTTGCGGACGCGTGCAATGCACTTTTGACAAAGGCTGGACAACCCCGAAGGCCACATATGCCTGCCCAGCACCTCTCACATGTGCTACATGTTTTGCATTGTCAATTTCACAGCTTCTTCTTTATCGCCCACAATTTGACAACTAAATCTACAACAACGACTGTCTCAAGCTGCAACACGCAAAAAGTACACCTGATTATCACGACAGCTACGGACCCTTAGAACCTCCTACTACTACTTACTCCTGCTGTTACTCCTACTCCTGCTCCTACTGCTACTCCTACTGCTACAACAACAACAACAACAACTACTACTACTACTACTACTACTACTATTTCTCCTGCTACTACTCCTCCTCCTCCTACTCCTAGTCCTACTCCTACCCCTACCACCACTACGATGCGCTGTGCCTAGTCCCAAGAGAGTAGGTTGGGGTTACACCTAATAGCCCCATAGAATATGCAAGGTCCCCGCTGCAGGTGCAAACTCAAGAGTCTCAAGAGCATTGGCAGGCTCTCTCTCTCTCTCTCTCTTTTTCACAAGCCAGCAGACGTCAACACGCGCCACGCCTCTGCAGTGGTTAGCGCCTGCCACCGGGGTGTCAATTGGAAGCCTTTGAAAATCTCTTGGGACAACTGGGGACCTGCAAGACACCTGTCATATTGTAGCAACGTCTAAGCAGAGGCCCGCCCTCCCTGACACATGCAAACGTGCTCCTCGTCCTGCCAACTTAACTTCATCAGCCGGATGACTTCGTCATGCTGCAGAGCTTTCCTTGGGCTGGAGTGAATCGGCACACAAGTCTTCGCATCCTTCTGAATCGGTGCATGGATCCTAGCTACGCTGTTTCTCAAAGTCCTTGTCAAGCTACAGGACCTGCTTCCGTCTCTGGAGAAACCGTGAGAAGTCAGAGCCCAACAAGTCCGCTGAGAGTTGCAGTGCCGGGTAGCCCGGAACCTTCCCGCAATACGAAATGAACTCGGATGGACAGTTCCTACTCAGAAGTGGGAATGGAGAGTGCCTCATCCTCTGGGCGCTTGATGCCGGCCGCTTGCAGATTTTGTCGCACCATGGCTTGTGCAGAGGTCAGGAGAGCGATGACACTAGACACATCCTCCGCATCCAAAAGCCACACCTCTGTCTGCGGGCCAGCTAGGTTGGAAGCCTCTTTGTTCGAGCCTCCCTTCAAGCCTGCAAGTACTTCCCGAAAATCATCTGAGCCAGAACCTGAGCCGACACCAGCGAAGGCTGTCTCCAACCATCGCCCGCCCACGCCAACAACTCGACCCACGCCTGCTGTTAGATCAACCTTCACAACATGCGGTTTGGAGAGTGGCTGGTCAGCAGTGGCCAGAACCTTCCGCACCAGCTCCTTGCAGAAGCTGCCAAAGAGCAGCAGCGCGCTCTCCTCGAGAATCTGCGCTGGGAGACCTCCCACGCCTGTGCAGAAAGCCTTGCGATAGGGACAGCAAACAGGTGGTTGCGCAGATGACATTAACGTTTGCTTTACCAGCACCACTTTGCACTAATATAAGCTCGCTGGTTGTGTAGCCTTCATCTGCTGCGCCGCTGCGCCCAGAGCCGCCTCACTGGCAACATAGGCTGCAGCCTCTGCGGCGCCTCGGCCCAGATTGCAAACCTGCAATCCCTTGAGGAGCTGGTCCTGAGTCTCACCAGTTCCCCACTTGTAAGCAAGCATTAGCAGGCAAGTGTGCGATGGTCCTGCTGGTACCGCAGCATGCCACCGAAATGGTGCTCACCCAAGCGCCGGAATTGGGGAACTAGGTCCAGAGCCAGGAGCTCTGTATTCGGCCTCAAAGGTCACCGCATGTCACTACCATGATGGATGCCGCCCTACCTTTGCCTCACGGTGCATCTGTAGGGCAGGAAGGCAAGGACGTGCACGAGGCACAGCAGATCAGCTAGGAAGACTGAGCAAAACTTTGCCTCCTTCAAGGAGGCCTCATGGGGCCTCACAGAAACAAATGGTGCCGAGCTCTGTTAACTAAGCTCTGTTTGAGCTGATGTGGCCTGGCCTCATGATTGCAAACAGCATGCAAAGCCGCCGGACAAGGTTGAACGTCTCCGTTACGTCTTGGGCAGTCTCCATGCACTCAAAGATGCACCTAAACTGTTCGCAGCATGGTGGCTTCATGGGCCTGGCGCCTTCTACCGTTGCCGCGCGCCTTACCAAGCGCATCAGCACTGAAGAGACCTGTGTGGTTGCTCAGCAAGCTGACTCCCCCTGACCTTTCCACACTTTCCCTCACACTCCCAGGAAGGTATTATGTCCAGACTCTCAGATTCACCGTTGTGCCTTCATGGAGGGAAGGCGAAGCAAAGACGGTCTGTTCTCAAGCTCGCGCACCAGCCCGTGCGGAAGGGACTGGGCAAATGGCATCCACCGAGGGCGTGCTCCAGACAAAAAGCCCCGCCTGCATCGTTACAGACTGCAAAAGTTGGGAATAGCTGCCGAAGGTGGCTTCATCGACACTGACCTGCCATTTAGTGGAACCAATTAAGCAGAGAAAGAAAGGCAGCTTAGCTTGTCCGAGATGTGCCAAGCGGCTAGTTCGCCCTCGTCCTGTACAAGAAAGAAAGATGCGAAAGCATCTTGGTGCTAGCCGCTCTGACCAATGCTGGCCTGGATCCAAGCCTTGGCCTCGACCAGCATCGAGGTGCACCGAGCCTCCTGCTTCGCCTACACATGATATGCGGCATCTTTCGGCCAACCCCATGCAAAAAAGCTGAGATCCACACAGAACGCAGGCAGCACACGTGCTTTCGCAGAGGACTCTCGGAGTCGCTGATGAAACCTGTCAAGCCAACTTGAACGTCAAGCTTGCCGACAGGAAGCACGGAGCCTCGCAACTGGAGATCGCTTTCAAAGCGCTCGACAGTATGTCCGTCCGCGATCTCAAACTGACCTGCCAGACAGTCTTCGGCCACCTCAAGGAGAATAGCGCATGGAAAGCTTCTTGCCATCCAAGTGCTCAATAGCTGACGGGCAGCAGGGGCATAGAGTCGAGAGCCTAATGCAGCATAGACCTGCACATCGGAATGTCTTGTCTATGCTCCGTTTTTGACTGCAACCGGCCTCCTTGACTTCGCCGCACCAATAGTAACATCTGTGAAAAACTTCTGTCAACGACTCCAGGAGCCAAGGCGTGCCTTGTGCTTTAGCCCTGGCCAGCAGTGGCCCGAGCAAGCTTCTCCGAATCTCGCCAGACAGTTTGTCCAAGCGCTGGCCTCTCACCCCCAAAGCCTGGAAAAGAGCCCATACTTCTGCCAACATTGGTCCTGCGATGTGTGGATTGCGTGAACTATCGTCAGAAAGGCTGACCAGCTCGTCAAAACGCTCGTCGACTGCATCCAATAGGGAAGCTCGCAACTTGCAGTACTCATCCTTCACAGACCTGATCATGTCTGGCTCCTTTATAAACGCTGGCGGGGAGATAGGGGCCAAGCATGCAGCAACTCTCTGCAACATGGTTGAAGCTTCCATAAAGCTGCGCCGGGAAACAAGGCCTTCCACTCTGATCAGTGAGCTTCTCGCTTCCAAAACAATACCAAGGATTTCAATGGCGTCATCAAGTTCCGACAGACGAGTTTCCAGCTGCGCATGCCTTTCTGACTCGTGCTGTACCTCTTTGGGCCGGGCTGGTTGGTTTTGCGTCGTCTTCTGAAGGTCTTCGTTCAAATCCGCCACCCGGCGCTGCAGGTCATTGACTTGGCCAGATGCGGCTAGAAATTCGTCACCTCGGGCTCGAATTGCATCCAGGACTCCAGCTCGTGATGCGTTCACTTCTTGGTTTACGTGTGCCAAGGACTTCGTGAGGGAGATCAAATCCAGCTCAATGAAACCAGCCGTCATGGCTCAATGCTACGAAAGAAGAGGGCAAAACAAAAGTGGTGAGAACTACAGGAAGCCAATGTGTGTTCTGCAGGGCTCATGACGCCAGGAGCGTCTGCACCTCGATTATATCGCTTGGCTGGTGTGATGACTCTGTCAGAACAAATGATCAAGGGAGCAGAATTCAGTGAGGCCAAAGGTAGCTGCGTGATTTGGACTGGACAATGCTTGCTTCGAGAGCATAATGAAGATTGTCTCAAGACCTATTCTGCATCAATAAGATTCTTGTCTTAGAGCTCTTTCAACTGCGCGCGACAGTCCTCATCGCATTACCAGAAAAATGCCGCGCTGGCTGAAACAACCAATCCTCCGCAAGGCCGAACGCTCGTCGGAGGCTCTTCCAAGACCAACCCTGCTGAAAACCTGTGAACAATCGCTGATCTAAGGCAGCATCAGCCACTGAAACAGCCGGTGCAGACTCCAGCATGCTCCAGCATCATGTCACGTCGATTGCACTGGCCCGGGAAGCTGCACATGTTTCGACTTCAAACAAATAATAGTTCCTTTCTTAAGTTTGATCCGATGGATTTCCGTGTGTTAAGCTGCCAAGCTCACAAGCTTGCACGATGCTTGAAAGCTGCTTCGCATGTGTCCATTTCTTTATCATTCTCCCTACCTGTCAACCTGCGACAAAGTCCAAGCAATGGCTAGACATGCAAGCATAGAAGCCATAAATATTCTCCTCAAGGCACAACCCCATCTGCAAGGGATGACACACCAAAAACCAGCTACATCCTTTGCAATTTGGAGGGCATTTCACAAGCTGACTTGGCTAAAAACTGGATAGAAGCAATATGCTTCTTCGTAAAGCGTGGCTTCAGGAACACTTTCACGGTTGTGGGAGGTTGGCACCTGAAAGATGTAAGCCTACAAAAGCCAGACTCCTTGGTATGAAGGTTTGTACTGCAGGATTTGTACCGACCATGCCGGGCCACTCAGGGTGGAGCACACCAGCAAAATAGGCCTCTCACCGCACAACTATTGGCAGTCTGATCGTCTGCAATCTACACAAACAGTTCTGACACGACCAACAGCTCTACTAATCAAGGTTGCCACTTTGACCAAGCCGCAACCTGAGGACTATACTTACTGCACTTAAATTACCTGCAAGTACTGACCAGACTGAACTGTGCCCTTGAAAAATGGGGAGGGCTGCCGCCCCAAACTGCCGCAGCTCAGAAAGCAGAGACAAAACCGTGACGTCCAACAGGGAAGGGGAATAAGCTGCAGAGCGTCTGAGATGGAAGGTGAAACGATCATCATACTGCATGTCCTCTCCATGGTCTCAGAAATGTAACAGCTTATGGAGAGGTTGCAAGCAGCGGTGCCTCACACCCTGTAATTAGTTCTGTTGCAACCGGCGCCTCAGCATCCAATTATTCTGAGGCGAGATAATGATCACCGGCCAAATTGCTGGAAACACTAACTCCACTCTGCAAAGTTAAGCTGAACAGTCGGAACGACTCGGCAACAGCACAAAAGTCTCGGAAGACTTCCAGCGCATCATTGCACTAGCATCTGGGTCGACACAGCATGTGTCCGCAAGTTCGCTTGTACAGAGAGCGCGTTAAAGTTCGGCACTGATCTGCATGATCGGCCCGCACTCATTGAAACACATCTACGCTGCGTACTCAGAACAAACAAGCTGCCGCCCAAACCCTTTGAGGTTTTGACTAGTCTCGTTCCGGGGGCAACCTTCAAAGGGGCCTCAAGATTGGGATGACAATACAAGACCGTGAAGACACCCAGCTTAGCTTAGGGGAGTTGACAACACCAGGACAAACACCTGATCTGACATGATTCAAGGATTGAAGTGAATGTGGTACCCGGTACCCGCAGGTGGAACTGCGGCGTGGAGCCCCAGTGTAAGTTTGACATCATGGATGTTGTGCATGGCTTGTTTTGCACTTTGCTATGAGCTTTGAAAGGTTGGCAAGTAGTTTTTTCTCCTTTTCGCCGCCGAATCCCACACTCTGAATCTAGTTGACCACCAACGCATGGTGCCTTTTGCATTGTTTTGTTCACCTACTGAACTTATGAATTCTGAACTGGGGTTGCACAGAACCGGGTGCTGCTGACGATTGGCCTGAAGGTAATGTGAAAACCAAAAGCCGGCACGTTCTGCCATAGTCATAGTCGACAACAGACTCAGGCAAGGAATTGATTGCATACTGACCCTTTCAGTCCCGCTTTGATTACAAAATAAACAAACACGACCAGAAGTTCAGCCCAAGAACAAGACTAATAAAATATCTTTACTAGTTGACAGCTTATTCGTGCTGTTGTTACGCTTGTTACTCGAATTTGGCCTTCTTCAAGATATGCTCAAGATAATTAAGTCTAACGGATAAGCTGGGTCTAAGACTAGTATCGTCTTCGTGCCAAAATCGTGAAGTAATGTAACGCCGAACGGGAGCTTCAATGCAGTGGGAGAGCAGGCGTAAAGTCATACGGGCAGGCGTTAAATGATACAGGTAGCCTTGGAGAGCATGGCAGAAGGAGCTACACAAATAGCAATCGCAACTTTTCTGATGCTCGGTGAGGCCTATGCCAAGTATTGTCTCATTGCCAACGCAGGGCAATTATGGTTATGGATAATGAGGAAACACCCGGCTTTGCTTGTGTGACTTGAGCTTTTTTCTATGCATGAGATGATTCGGCTGGCTTTTTGCGTTTCTGGAGTGAGATACGAAGATCATCAGCCGTTTGGAACCTGTGCGACTGTCTGTTGCAGAAGTGCTCAACTCCAAAATCCATCTCATGCAGGAGGTTAAGCCATAAGATTCTTGTTTTTGCGAAAGGTTCAAGGGGAGATCATAGAGGCCATGTGCAAAAGCAATAAGCGTAGGCGACGGTAGTTGGCCGCCAACAGTTTCGACAGACTGGATGACATCATGGTTGAATGGTCCTGCCCAAGCTTAGTTGACGACTTGCAGACCGCAATGTGGCTTCTTGGCAGCGCTGGAGCGCTATCTGCCCATGTAGCGATGGTTCTAAATAGACGCCTGCCACTACCACAAACAACAAATTCTTCGGACAGAATTTTGCTTGCGACTTGAAAAGGATGCTCAAGATTCGAATGTATGTCTTTCTTTGTGATGCGAAAATTTCTGAGCTCCTCAGAGCCTGACTGTACGTCCCAACTTGATGCTGTCCAAACTAACAACGCTTTTTTTGATTCAAGAAGACTGATGCAGCTGTTGTGCACAGTCGTATGTCGCATGAACTGCTCATGAGCATTGCGGGCAAGCACGAGAACCGTCAGATCTTCTGGCCTAGGCACTTGACACGCCGAAGGATTCCCACCCGTTCTTCTTCTTCTTCCATACCTTTCTTCACCCCTCGCCTCCACCCATTCATTTAGTTTGGATGCAAAGAGTGACATTTCCAGATTACGTTCAGCGAGGAAAATGGCGTAAGGGAAGCAAAGCTTTGCTTGGGAGTTCGGTTGACACATGGAAAGACAAGACGTACTTGCGCATTGCCTCCTCTACTACGTACAGAATTTTCGCGATTCGGATGGTTTCAAGTGGAAAATGTGCTTAATGATGATCGTGGGCAAGACTCTCAACGGGCAAATGAGGCCACCTCAGAAGCGTGCGATTCTCTCTCATTCTCACACTTATAAGATTCAATGATGATGCGGTCGCTGGAAGAAACAGTGCCAAAATGTGGAGAGCCAAATCAAAGAATTGAGTAAGATGATTCTGGTATTCAGGCCGGTGAAAGCATCAGAAAAAATAGAAATGCGTTGAAGGCCCGAATAAAGACGTTCCAGTTGATGATGTTTAAGATCGGAAACTGCCAAACTGGAGACTCAGCTTGTCCACTTGTAGTAGTCCTGGGTTGTGTGAGGGAAGGCAAAGAGCGCGTCCGAAGCTTGTTGCCCTGGCGGGAAAAAAACGCCTCAGGACCCTGAAGATTCTGGCATTTCTTCTGAGAAGGTAAATGCTGTGGCATTCTGGATGGCAATAGAAGCCTCTAGTCTGACACACTCATGCTATGCCTGCTTTGCTGCCAGGCACAACATTCCAAACGGATAAATTTCGGTGATCACTATCATCCCAGGAATGGGCGGCAGCTCGGCAGTCTCCCAAGCTGTCCTGTCTTGGGTAAGTGGAGTTTGTTTGATTGGCTGCAGGTCCCTCATCAGACAAAGGCCTCGCACCGGAAGCTCAGCTGTGTTGAATGATTGGGCTTTCCCCACTTCAGCTAGTGTGCATTGAGTACAACGTCCACCTGAAACCTTGCTGAGCCCGGGTGCGTGCTCAGCTGTTTGAAAGATTAGGCTGGTCTCTTGACCATGACTTATGGTGCAGCATGCACTCACAACAAACAGTTGCAAAGGATGCGATGGTGACCTGACTCCCAACTTGTGGTGTCAAGCAATACTTTGGGGATTCCGGCGTCAATTGACAAAATGTATCGCAGGTGTACGTAGTCTGCTGGTATGGCCACCTTCTCACAGATAGTGCAGGAACTGTACGGGCGAAGCCGCATTTTGCAAAGCAGTTGCCAGCACTTAGACGTTAAAGATTACAACCTAATTTATGTGAAGTCATTCCAACCTCCTGCTTTGCAGACTGCATGTGTCAACCTGCAAAGGCAAACACGCCAAATTACAGCCAAGCTGTCATGGTGTTGGGAGCTATCCCCGAGCAGGAGCTGACCCTATCCATGGCACCAGAGCGAGCGCTCTAAGGCGGCATGGATCCGGCAAGGCCCGCAAGTTGCATCGCACACCGAAGCACGCTTCTTCATCTTCGTCTCTGAAGCACTCGGTCAATCCTAAGAAAAAAAATTCTGAAGCAAAAATACTGCTGTTCCTCTGCCTGGCAGCCTGGCCTGGCAGCTTCTGGGACACGGGCCGTGTACACTTCGTCGGCATTGGTCAAGATTGCCGATGTGCCACAGCCCGAACCCATGAGCCCCGCGCCTGAAATGCACTTTTCATCGCAGTT